ATTATGTGAACTCCACCCAAAGTGCACTGAGGCATTTCTCAGGTTCAAGAATAGGTTAAACAGAACTAGAAAGCTCTGGTTCTGGGGGTGGAGGAGAGGAGAAAAGCGGCCTAGACCTGAATTCTGAACCAAAAAGTTGTGAAAGGATGAGGTGCATGATGCTCTATCTAGACCCACTTAACACAGACCTTACAGACATAATCTTTGGGACCATGGCTTCCGAAACAGATTGTTGTCATGTAGAGTAAATGAGAAAAAGAAAAGAAATCTCTGGATCCAGTTTTATTTTTCACAGAAGGCCACAATTGAGGCCCTCTGCACCTTCTCTAATCCATCAGCTCCTGGACAAACAGCCTGTTTGCCACCTCCTCCCCATCTCTCCTGTGGCACCACAGAGCTCAACCAACAGTGACAGACCACATTGCAGCTTGTGGGTGACTTGCTGGCAAGCAGACACCACCTCCCCCTCCCCAAAGTCCCTTGATACAAAGGACAAAGCAACGCCTGTACCAGTGTCACTGATCCATGCTGCTTGGCCGATCAACATCATCCCAGGCAGAGAAATACCACAGTTTCTACTGGAAGGGAGCAGGAGCTGCTCCTGGCAGTAGAATGCCCTGCTTTGTCCCAAAATGCAGCACAACCCTCTCACCCTTTGCCATGTTCCCACCCGCCTTCCCAGCTCCCAACCTTCCGCCCTTTCAACACCCACGGTCTTTCCACTCTGCTGTGAAGCGATGAGAAATTCCCTGCCAGAGGACATTGTTCAAATGGTTTATTGAAAAGAAATGCAATTCCCTACTCCAGGCAAACAGGCTCCTTCTTTTCCCCTTGAGGAAGAAGGATAATAGCACAGCCAGGGAAAAAAAAAGCTATCCCCAGAGCCTGCTGTAATAATATTAAATAAGAGACCAAAGGGGTTTGGCCAGGAAAATCCCAAGTTCAAAAGAATAATTGCTCCAAGAGATTTAAGCCCAAAGCTGAGTCACTAAAATGAAGAAACCTCTCCTTGTCCATAGAAAGCAAACAAATCTTGGGCCATGCAGTAAAGCTTCTGTATGTCCTTGTTAGAAAGAAAGACAAAAGCCAAATGCAATTAATCATAGTCCCAGAAGAAAGGATGAAACCTCTGTAATTAGTTATCTAGGCTCATCTTTCCACTTTTGAAGACTAATCCAGCCTCCTCCTTTCACCCTTCACCCACAGCACTGCCACAAAAGCCTACTACAAATACCCTCTCACTTCTCTCCAGGGGTACACGCTCACCTGCAGCCTGTGGTTCCCTAACAGCTTCCAGTCAGTGTAACAGGGAGGGGGGAACACGCACGGAGAGCAAACTGAGCTCCTTTTCTTAGTGACCTTTTGTGGATGAGCTGTGTTGGAGTTTGCAGCCTCACCGAGAACCTGGAGACCTCAGCTGAACTACAAGAGTTCTTTTCAAGCTAGGTAGTCTGTATCTACAATCCTGATTCAACTGATCAATGACCAGAAAAACACCAATAAAAAGATAAAGCATACAAACATGCAAATCCTTTCCAAATGGTTAAAATTACAACTGCTTGTGTTAAGAAATTGGCTTATACCTGATCCTCTGGCGCTGTAAATTTGCCCAGCCATCACCCTGCCCATGGAAAGCATGTTCTTCACAGCTGTACACACTGTACAGAGGTGAGTGGACAGGGCTATATATTAAGAGCAAGGTCTCCAGCAGTTAAATTCAGTAGAGTGGAGCCAGCTGGCAAGCAGCTCCTTGATTTGTAAAAAGCAAAGCCACATTTCACAGATGAAATGTATCCAGGTATGACTAAAAGTCACAATTCCTTTACTATATTGAAGCTTGAAGCTCAAGAATGAGCTTCATTCAAAGTTTTGGTGAACATTGGGGAAAAGTGTAGTGCATCAAAGAGAGTAAGAGGAAGGGCTGGAGCTGGTGGCTACAGCTTAGGAGCAGGTCAGGATCTAAGAGCCAAAAAATCCTATGCAAATCAGAACAAGCCATTCAACTTCCCTGGGGCTCCCTGAGTAAATAAGGGTTGACAAATATTATTCCAACAATGAAAACAACAGCAGACCAGCTCTTTAGGTCAAGTACATCAATGGTAAATGGGATACAGTGGAATAATATCAAAATGACATCAGCTGAGGAACTGAAGACTGATTTTTACCCCCTCTTTTGTGTACAAACCACTACTAACATATGAATAATGCTGTCAACAACAGATGGGGAATGCTAGCCAGCTTTGTGATCTGAGAGAGCAAAGAATGCAGAATGGACAGAAATCTCCAGCTTTGCTCTTCCATGACATGGCAGAAATGCTTGTTTTCAAAGGAAGGAGATTGGGTCATTCTTCTATGAAAAAAAAATGGAAGCGATTACACAGCTCCAAGTACAGCAGGAGCCTTCCTGTACAAATGTGGGAAACAGGGACAGAAGATTAACAGCCAGGCTGTGGGATATGGTAGCAGGGGCAGAGAACCTGGAGTACATCCATAATGTGACACCCACTCCTTTTTCACCAGGTCGGTGCCGCAGATGCAGCCAGAGGTGCTGGGGATGCTCTGGGGGTTGTTTCATGGCACAGAGCTGGCTTTGTCTGCTCTCTGGGCTGAATTACCACTCGACATCAATCTCAGCCACGACACTGGAAATGGGTGGATTTCTCCTCCAGTCTTTGCACAGAAATCTGGCAGAGGAGCTCGGCACAGTGTCAGAGCAAAGGCGGGATTTGGCTGCAGCAAAGGTGGCTACCAAACACCCAGAATGGCCACCCCTGGGCAGTCCTTCACCCTGGAGCTGCTCCTTATGAAATAAAATCAACTCTCTGCACACCTGTGGTTGGACAGAAGGGTCATAAAATCGTTTTGGTTGAAAAAGACCTTTAAGATCAAGTACAACCATAAAGTGCCAAGCCCACCTCTAAACAATCTCCCCAAGTGCCACATCTACACAGCTTTTAAATACCTCCAGGGATAGCGACTCCACCACCTCCCTGGGCAGCCTGTTCCAATACTTGATAACATTTAAGTGAAGAAGTTTTTCCTCATATCCAATCTAAACCTCCCCTGGCACAACTTGAGGTCATTTCCTCTTATCCTGTCACTTGGTCCTTGGTTGAACAGACCCACCCCCACCTCTCTCCACCCTCCTTTCAGGGACTTGGACAGAGCCAGAAGGTCTCCCCTCAGCCCCCTTTTCTCCAGGCTCAACAACCTCAGTTCCCTCAGCTGCTCCTCAGCACACTTGTGCTCCAGACCCTTCCCCAGCTCCATTGCCCTTCTCTGGACACACTCCAGCACCTCCACGTCTTTCTTGTAGTGAGGGGTCCTGCCAGCACGCTGGGGTTTGTCCCTCATTAATGGGAATTCCTGTCATCCTTCCAGTTGGAATGCATAGATCCTCATGAAGAAAACCAAATGCTGCCAGCAGACAGGCTGCTTGCCCCAGTGCTACAGGGCAGAAGAGCAGCCCCAAAACCACTGCGATGGGATGCTCTGTGAGCTGAAGCTGCCCTCCGCTGGATGCAAGAGCAACAACCCCCTGCAATGGGAAAGTCAAAAGCTACGTGGCTTTTCAGGAGCAGGTCCCTTGCCTTCCCATCATTACAGGCAACATTCGCTTTCCTCAGTGTTATGTTACAGGCACAAAACGTAGCAGCCAGAATCTTTCAAAACAAGCAGAAGTTGGGGGAGTTTGGAAGCATCCTGTTGTCTGACAGCACCAAGCCCCAACAGCCAAAAGCTGAACTGCATTCAGGTGTCTGTAACAGTAACCAAAACAGAGGATTCTCCCCCCTGTACCCTGATGCACATGCTGGAAAGTGGAACCCCATATATTTTTGCTAGATGACAATGCTCCTTGAATGTTGGTGTTTAAATATGGACATATAACCAAAGATTAAGCTGAGAACTGAGGTAACCTTTATTTTTAGACAATTACCACACAGAAAGGATAGAGTCACCATATTTGTTGAGAAATAATACTAATTAAAAAAAAAAAATCACTCAAATAGCAACACTATAAATGCTTTAAAATCCCAAATTAGTTAGCATTATGTACATCCCAAATTTTCATTTTACATAACCATATAATAACTACAAAACAAATCCTCCTGACCATCCTCAGATCAATTAAACCAACACAGAACAGGCACCCAACCACAACAGAATTAAGGAAAACCTTTTCAGGTTTCAAGCACAAAGAAGAAAATTCCTGAGATGGTCTGCAGCAATTAATTTGGCCCAACAATGCCAAGGTACAGCAGCAAACAGAATTTCCAGGGGTGACTCTCTAAGGCAGCAAAGTTAAAATCTTCTACCTAATGCACTTCCCTGCCTGCAAAGTTCTCTGACTTTGCACCGCACCTTTCAAGCTTCCTTTACTAATAATGAAGAGAGATCAGTAAATTCAGTAAAATCTGACATTTCTTTCCTATTGCAGCACGTAAGAGAAGGTGCAGCCTGCTATGACATGCCGGGCTGTGGAAAGCACGCGGGGAAGCAGTAGGCGTGTGCTTCATCTTGCTGTGACAGGGCTAGACCTCCTCACTCTTTTCCCCCCAACTGCCCCAAGATTGCCCTCCCCTCTCCTAAGGTCTTGCTCTATATTGAGAATTTCCCCACAGGCTTCACACTGCTCCTGATTTCCACTTCTCAGTTGTTCAACACTTTTTCTTAAAAGCCAGTGATGCAATATGTGCTGCTTTTTAGCACACTCAGCTCCAAAGAGAGGACAACCAGGAGACACACAGACTCCATTTCTCACTTCAGCTTCTTTTAAAATCAATTTAAGCAGACAGAAGATGAGATTTTCAAGAAGGTCCCCTTAAAAAGAGTGGGAGTAGTTCTTTGTAGCAGTACAGAATGCAAAATTGAGTTCTGGTATGATCCTCTACTGCCACCAGCAGTAAGATATCACCAAAAGCCGAGAGGAAGCAAAACACCTCTTAGCAGCTCCCTCAGTGGTTGCAACAAAGCCAACACCAATCAAGTGGGCCACTCACCCGAATTTGGTGGAGAGGACACCTCCCAGGGCAGAACCAATGATGATGCTTATTCCAAAGCAAAGACCCATCTTTCCCAAAGCATCAGCACGTTGGGAAGGAGTAGTCAGGTCTGCAATAACCTTCTGAGCACCTGCAGGGAAACAAATCCCTTGAAAGCAGCTTGCCACAGGGTCTGAGCAGCAGCTATAAATTTATAGGCCACAGAAAGAGCCCTTGCAACCCTGAGGTAAATGTTCATGCACACTGTTCTGAGTGGAATTGGTTCAGCCAGTTAGTTGTAGGAAACAAAGCACTCAAAACGCTCGAATAAACCACTTCACGAAAGCAAGACAAGGCTTAACACCCTATCAACTTGGGTCCTCTTGTGTGAGTCACATGGACTTCTGGTAGCTAAAGGCTGTTGTATGGTTTTTACTAGAAACATCTAGGAAAGGCCAACTAAAGCAGAACAATTTGGTGGGTAATGGAAGATATCTTTGTAACCATGTTTCACTCCAACTAATATGCTAACTTTACAAGGAGAAAGGGAAAACCTCTCCTACAAAACATCCTGGTTGCAAGAAGCCAGCTGAGAAGTTTGGGATAGTGTTGCTTCCAGCAAGTATTCCTCACCCATGTCTGGAAGGTGAAGCCCAAGCAATGTGCTCAAGATCATACAGGAGGATGAGCCTGGGACTACAGACTACCAGCCTTGCTTTCCTGCTGCTTTCCATAACCAATATATCTGCTGCTTCACGTTCTCACCATTTCACCGCTGATAACCATCAAATGTTCCTCCTGCCTTCCTTCACGCTCTTGACACTGTTGACTTCCAGCAACATGAGCAAGAAGAGAAGAATCAGGCAATAAATGCAATTTGGGAAGTCACTCAGCCCTGACCAACCTTACCTGGTAGCCCATGCATGAACACTGCTGGCAGCCTGGAGAGGAAGAGGAGGGGGATGCTGGTGGAGATGGACGTGAGCAGGAAGAAGGCACTTCCAGATGCACAGGAGAGAATTAAGGCAGGTCGGGTGCCAAATTGATCCGCAAACCTGGTACAGAAATGGTACAAGGTTATCAGAAGTGGGGCTGTGCAGGTCATTACTAGTGTGATGCACACACATAGAGTTGCACAGCATCTCACTCATTTATCTGCCATGGGAACCACTGATCAAAACAAAAACCAACAAGCCACAGATAATTTTCTATTTAGGTTCAAGAAAGACTTCACAATAATGACTCAAATTTGTTTCTATTTGAGGGAAAAAAACCAAGGCAGTCAGAGGAGGTTTTGGTTCAGGTTTTACTAAACTCCAAGATACTTTAAAAAGCTAAGTTGAACAAAGTCCAAGAGTACCACAGAAAGGGTTCTGAGCAACTGGGACTAAGATTACCATAAACTAGGCCTTAGAAAGAGTTTTTCACTCCAATTCCTCCTTCCTTCATTTTATTGAGTTGCATATTACAATTAGCAGATAAATGTGACCTTGCATAGCAATTAGTTGTGCTTACACTAAAAGAACCATCACCCTCAAAATGCCAAACACATTGGCATTTTGTCCACAAACAAAGCTAAACATAAGTAATTAAAGGGGTTTGTGCTGAGGAAGAGGTACAGGTCAAAATGTCACTGTTTACATGAAAGCCAGGGAAGTTTATATTAGCTGTTTTGGAACCTAAAGACCATGATTCTCTACATAATCGAGGGCTTTTTAAAAATTATTATTATTTTATTTAAGAGTAAATTCAGTGCTTCTCATGGCTGTTTAGGACCATCAAGCAAGATGACCCAAGATACATATTTTTCTCTCTTATCACCCCTCCTTCCCATTTTCTCTTTATCTACCTTTACACTGAGGTTAAAGCAGCCTCACATATAGGAAAACCCTTTTTATCTCAAACGCATGTTGCCAATTTTAGCTTCAATCTGGCAATATACACCTTCAGTCCCACCTATACCAGTGGGAGTCCAGACCCAGATGGATTCTGGTTTGCTACTTTCCTTCCCTTCAGCATCTCTTCCAGACATTAGTGAATGACACACACAAAGGAAAACTAGATTTTAGATGATATTAGATCCAGAGCAGAAATATTACTCTAGTTTCGTATATTAATAGAAAAAGCATCCAAATTGGGCACTTTGCACCATTTCCATTCTTAGGAATGTGTTTTCTTCCAATCGGCACTGGAGAACTTAAAGCTACTGTTATTAATTTTAAATAAATAAATAAAATTATTATATTGTCCAAGGGCTTTTAAGAGATCAAATCCTTTAAGTGCTCAGTAAATGTCACAGTAGGGGAGAGCCAAATGATATTCATTCCCAGCAAGCCACAGAGCTGGGGAGATTGGTTGCAAGCCAAGTATGTTAGAATCCAAGTCCCCTTCTTATACAAACTGTCCTTATAGTCTGACATAAAGGAGACCACGACCATTCTGCTCCTAAGAGGAGGATGCAGCTGTGAAGCTGAGCTGATGCTAGTGTCTCAGGCTGGCTGGTGGAGTTTCATTTCTTTGGTCACATACGGGTTTATGTTGAGATGCTGGAAACAGCAGTGTTATCCAGGATAGAGGTACACACCAGGTACCAGAGGATCCTGTAGAGCTCCTAGTCTACATCAATCAGAATGGTAAACCCCATGGAGGAATACTGAGGCACACACCAGCTCCTTATCCATTACTTTGTTGATAGCAGCAGGACTAAGAAGAAAAACCAGATTTTCTAAACCTCATTTCAGTTTCCTATCACTGAATTACCTTCCTCTTTCAATTTTTTTCTGCTTTTTGGGAACATGTTCTTTCACCACTTGAATTTTTTTGGGGCCATTTACATTTCAGTAGGAATAGGAGTGGGTGTCCCATGGGGTAGAGAGGCAGAAAACCTGAGTCTTTTCCACTCTTTTCTTCTTTTGATAGATGAA